GAGTAGTCAAGTTTTTTTTGGATAGGACATAAAACAGAATTCTTATGTACACGTTGGCATGCACTTGAAACAACCCTTGAAACAAGTAGGATTTGACAAATTTGTTAACAATTGAGTAGTACTGAGAAGCATTATAGTTTATATGTTGCATAATAACTACTAAAGTCTAGTTCTTGAAAAAATTACACACATTTTCTTGACATCTACTAGATAACAACCAACATATTATTCCAGACAAGAATAAAGACACATTGTAAAACTGTGTCCTCTATAAATAAAGCTATATATTAACTTGCATAATACTACTTTTTCTTAATATTATTTAAACATTTTTACCAACAGTGTTGTCTAACACTAATCACAATGGCAGAAAACTGATGAAGAAGTAGTTAGTTCTTCATATAAGCAGATCAACAAAATATTTAAATCAGCTTGAAATAATTCTAATATCTAATTAAATTAATATAACATTAACACATATCATCTGGCTTTAATATCAATACAATAATTTTAATATTTACCCATATCAACTTAAACAAGCCAACAGTGAGGCTGATGTCTCCCGCCAAAATCCCAAAGTAAATAGATGACACATATTAATTAATAGAACATCTATTCTTTTCGAAAATATCAAGTACTCAAACTGATGATCAACTATACACTAAGTTTCATCACTCTCTATCAGATAGGATCAAAGTTATCTTGTTCCAAAGCATCGACCAATGAAATTGCTTAACTCTGCTTAGCTTCAGTTCAAAATGTTAATCATTGAACTCAGTCAAGACATTCACCTAATGAACATCTACATCAAGTTAAAACATTCTTCCTCAATTAAAAGTAGAATTGTTACGTTCAGAAGTCTTGACCAATCAAATTGCTTATCACACCTTAGCCTATGCAGAAAATTCTCATCATCGAACTTCATCAAGGTGATGATATAATGAATCTATACTCAGAGTTTCATCAATCTCATTTAATTAAAACTGAAGTTATCATGCCCCAAAGCATTAATCAATCAGATTGCTTATCTCTGCTTACTGTAAGCAGACAATGTTTATCATTGAACTCCATCGAGGCATCAAATTATACACCAAGTTTCATCACTCGCACTTAATTAGAACTAATGTTATCGTGTCCCAAAGCATCAACCCTAAGCAGAAAATGCTCATCTTCGAACTCCATCAAACACCTACACCAAGTTTGAACATTCTAACTCAATTAGAAGGAGAGTTATTGTGTCCCAAAAAGCGTGAGGAACAGACAGACGAACCCATTTTAATAGTTCTCCACTTTCTATGGAAAAACTGCTGAAACAAATAATGAGCCGAGTGACCACATACACTGCAGTTGCACTAGACACTATTGTTACACAGATTTTAAATGTTTTCTCGATTCGTCAATTTAAGAAATTTTGATTCCCGATAAACTAATGACACAAATACAAATCAATGCCTGAAAACTGTCGCAAAATGCAGAGTGGCTCCAGATAAACAGTCATAGCTTTCAGGCACTTTATTTTGCGGAATAGGAGTAGAAGGCAAAAATGTGTTTTTTTATCCTAAAAAAATAGTTTTTTTTTTTTTTTTGCAGTTTATCTGTGAAAATTTGTTTACTCAAATGTTTGTGACTGTATACCTATGGCAAATGAGTGTTGCTGAAAATAGGTCAAGTTATAGCCTTCAAAAATTCTTTGTTACAATTTGATTGTCTTTATAACATTATTGAAAGTTATCAATGAAAGTTAATAATGACTTAACGTAGCATTTATAAAAGAACTGATGTTTTATCTTAGTGTGTACCGGGCAAAAACCTGATACCCCTTAAAAAAAATCTGATGAGAAAATTATGCTGGGCACTTTTTTCCATTTAATCAGAGTGACATGATTTAGTTTAGTAAAATTTATATCTCCAAAGATGGTATGGTTGGCAAAAATAGAACATTACTTATATTAGTATTATGCCATAAATTTTTTTTTTTGTTTCTTGTTCAATTGAGGTGTAAAAAAACAGGGCGGGGGAGAGAAGGGGGTACATTTTTTTTTAATTCTTATTTTCTGCCATTTTGAAATAAAGATAGGTTGCCAGGCAACGAAACATACGCCTACAGCAGCTAAATCGTCTGGGCAGTCAACAAGAGTTGTCGCATATTTTTACTTTTGTCGGTAATGAAACATTTATAATACATTAAAATCTGATTAAGAGTAACAACTCATTAAGTAATTATCAGAAAATCATTAGAATTTGTTTGGCCCATGCTAACATTTAGTATACAAAACATTTAATATCATGGATAATTAGCTGTTAAAAGTTATCAAAAATCATTGAAAATCAATATATACTTGTTCGTTTCAAGACCTTAAACTCGGTGTATCAATCTAAAGTCCATTGAAACGATTATATATATAAATTAGTGATGGTCCGATTTGGCACCTATCGGTTTTACCGATATCAGATATTGACAGCGAAATATATCACCGATACAGATACAATTACCGATCGAGGTGGATAAAAAACTATTTTACCGCGGGAATCAAACACGAACGCTGTGTTTTTGAAGTAATAATTGGGTCACGCTTCCAACACAATCAAAAATACACACCATCTATTATGAACATCATATTTTAAGTGTTGATTACGATATAATTCCTGACGGCACCTGTATGTCTATATTAGTTCATGCAATGATACATCAACAAAGCTGATAGCTTCCTGCATGACCTGTTGTCTACAGTGGCAATCACATGACATTCTCCCAACATTTCTAGAACTAGAGTTAAAAATAAAACATCTAATTGGAACTTATTTATTGGTAATATTATTAATTATTAAAGTATGATCATTATTATGGGTTATAATTTGTTGATACAAATTATATAAAAATTGTAAAGTAGCCTAGCATAACAATACAAATCACTAAATTATTTCTAAAATTTTATCGGCATATAGAAGCCGGAATATCGGACGGTAATCATGTGACATCAAAGGGATATCCCCCCTTTCATCCTTCATTCCAATCATGCGCAAACCATATGGTATTTTCCCACCTTTTCCAAAAATCATACTAATTATGATAGTGGCAGACAATACTAGCAGTGAACTAGATAGAACAAAGGAATAAATGCCACAAAGTAGTAAGATTTGGAACTTTTTCACGATAAGCGACGCTTCATACCAGCACGGTATGCAATGATGAGCCATTGCTGACATCTTCTTTACTTTTATTATCATGAATCGAGATATACCTTGTTTATTTCATAGTTAATAAATTTGTCATTAAAAATTCAATAGCCTAATTAGATCGAAGAGGGTCCTCCGCAAGGTACTGACTGTGTACTCCAATTCTATGATTTTGATCATCATGCAATTGGCTTTTTCCCTATTCCAATCAAAAGTTTTATCGGGTGGACTGTTGTACGTTAAATGTTTGTCTGCACATGCGCAGAAATCGTATTCTCAAAAATCGCACTGAGATACCCGAGCTCTCAAACAGTGTATGAATAAGGATTTAAAAAAAACCCCGGAGAACGGTAAGGATTTTGTAATGTTTATTCTTTCCTTTGTATGGCCCCTATGATGAGAGTCTCGTATTACCGGTACGTCTAATTAGCAACTTGCACGGCAACCGATATATATATATATAAAACTTTTATTTCTGTTGCCGTGGGCGTGGCAATTTAGATAAAGGAGACCGGTATGGATTTTGTACTATTTATTCTTTCCTTTTTACGGCCGCTATGGGAGTCTTGTATTACCTGTGCATCTAAATAGCAACGGGGCGACAACAACATACAACCACATTTCAATGTGGGTGTATAAAAATGTAACATTACAGGAATCTCGAGAGGAGGGAGTGTGTGCGTGTTGTTTTAAATATTTTTTTTAGGTTGGGATGATACAAAACAAAATTTTATCGCGATACATAACCCAAAGTATTCTAATAGACAATCTCGCTTTGCCCTGTGATTTATCAATAAAATAGAAATAAAAATAAAATAAATAAGAAAGAGACAACAATTTTATCACAGCATCTGGAACAATTTTCTACACATACAAAAACTGACAAGACCATATGATTGGCTGTGCCACCACGACCAAGGGAATTTTTGTTTTACGGCATGAAACTGACTTTCATTCAAGAATCTACAACAATATGTTGCCTGGCAATACTGTATTTCCTAAAGTGCTGTAAACTTGGAGACAGGAAATTGGAATGCGATCAATTTGTCCTTTCCTTTCTTAATTGTTTACGTACAGTACTAAGCTTATGGAACAGCAGACAGTCCAAACATAAATCTGTTTCTTGTAGCAGATTTGATTTTCTTCAACGTATGTAATACTACAATTATTTCCCAACACGTGAAATTGGTATTTGGGCTTATAAAGAATGCTGTCTAAAACATTTATGAATACCACTTTCATGTCTTCGTATGGTCGGTTATGTACATTTTTACTGATCAGTCACAAATCATAAAAAAAAACATGGCTTGACTTTTAGAGTAGGTACCAGAAGAGTATTTGCAAGTGAGATTGATCAAGAAATGAAATGGGGTTTAACGTTCTACTGTGACTGGGCTAATGATGACCGGATTGACCAAGAAATAATGTCCAGATTCAGAGGGTAAATGTTACGTAGGTCGAATCAATGAATGCGCAATTTACGTTTTTAGGGTTAGTAACACCAAGCTCGCATTTCGGCACTTAAAATTAGAGGCGGAAAATTTATTTTAAAATAAAGCAGTTCAAGGCACAATTTTAAATGGATTATAAATTACTAAATACAACACAAGCATACTTATCAATATATTTGGAGATTATCCTAATAGTAGACACCCTAGCGTACTAAATACAACACAAGCATACTTATCAATATATTTGGAGATTATCCTAATAGTAGACACCCTAGCATACATATTTATATTAAAAGATCTGAATTGATTCCTGCCATCATGACGCACAAAACACAGCCAAGGTTAGGAGATGAAAATAAAGAAATCATTTACCATTTGTCATATTTATCTTTAGGATGATTTTCAAATTTCACTTTCCATTTCCCTTCTGAACCAACTTTAACAACACATCCCATATACCTTGAATCAAAACAAACGGTATTAATATTACTAATAATTATGTACATAGTAATCTACATTCTATTCTTTCAATCTAGTAAAACAATTAACATATCAAATTTTATAAAGGTGTTTTCACCCATATCAAACTTTTAAATAGTCATTTCCATTCATCCAAACATCAGATTAAAGAATGTTTGATATTCATGCACCATGTTTAACTAAGAGAGATAACTCCAAACTAACAATCAAATTACAATATAAAATTAAATACAAACCATTTTCCATTGACTAAAGCACCAACTCTTGTACCTACTTCATCTACAAAAAAAAAAAAAGTATTCAGGGTTCGTACACTAAAATATGAATGAAATTCCATGGCTTTTCCAGGACTTTCCAGGACCAAACAGGGCATTTTCCAGGAACAAAATTAAAGCATTGCATGCACTGAATTTTTTCATGAGAAGTGTGTAAAGGTGATATATTCAATCGTTTTTTTTAAATCGGATAAAAATTTTGATCTCTAGAGACAACAAGCTAAAAACGTTACTTTTCGTACAATCAAGGGCCATAATTCTGGAAGTTAACAGTCCGATATACACGAATATTGAAAGGAACCAAGATCTTTGGGTTATAAACCTGTATTTCAAGTTTCATCCAAATTGGATCAAAATTGTGATCTCTATATGTCCACATGAAAATGTGGGCATATAAAAACAACACTTACTGGTAACCGTCGCTTTCCAAAATAATAGCACTCGTGCAGGGCAATGTCAACACACGTCATTCTTCGAATTTTTGTTATTGTCTCAAAGTACTTGTCGACATTTCTCCATATATATAGCTCGTCTTATTTTTTTATTATTTAAAAACACATCTCCATTCAAATTATAATCATAAACCCTAGAACATGCCATCAAAAAGAATCTTTTTTCCGACATTGCGCTCTCGTGTAATTTCCTGCTTCTTGCAAGTATTTATTGGATATATTGAAATAAAAACTGGTTTAACTGAATCACCAACAAAACTTGGAATTTTGGAATATTACTCAAGTTAGTCCTACAATTAGCAACAAATTACTTTATATTAATTAATATTATGGGCCATTTTTTCTTGACGTATATCAGAAAAGTATTACTAAGAGACTAGAATAAAACTCTGGAATCTCGATAAATGACTGCTACCATGGTGTTGAAAAACATTTGTCTTTATGGATGAAGATCAGAAAGATAGGTTGCCAGGCAACGAAACATACGTCCACAGCAGCTAAATCATCCGAGCGGTTGACAAGGGTTGTCGCATATTTATTCCTTTGTAGGTAATTGGGGGCCTTTACAAGACAGCTCCATACAGAACAGATTATAAATTTTGTCGTTTGAGGGTTCACAATGTTCTACAAACTGAAACAAGGGTCTCAACTCTGGAAGTAATCTACAGAAATTGTTGAAATTTGACAGACTTTTTCCTTTTACTAATTTAACCCGTTAAGTGCGTAGGCCGTTATATAACGTCCTGGACAACTGCCTTTCACTGTGTGTAGGGCGTCATATAACGCCTTGGAGGTATTTTCCCCAACCTATTCTTAGAACATAGTTCGTCACTTGGGGGAAATCCCTTGGGAATTCCCCCACGATCGCAGCATGTGTAGGAAGTTATATTATGTCCTGGACAACTGACACTATCTGTGTGTAGGGCGTAATATAACACCTTGGAGGTATTTTCCCCAACCTATTCTTAGAACACAGTACATAGTTCTTCGTCACTTCGTTAAATAAATTACACAATAGGGGGTAGTTAAGGTTTTAAAAACGTCCCGCTTAATGGGTTAAATAATGCATATAAATTTCATACAGATCATATGATCACTTTTGTCATTCAAACATTCACAATCGCCATAACTCTAGAAATTATTGACGGAAATTGCTGAAATTTAATAGACCTCTGTTTCACAAATTTAAATGATGCATATAAATTTCATACACATCGGATGGTAACTTTCATCAATCGAGCATTAACAAGGTTGAACAAAGTGAAACAAGGGCCATAACTCTAGAAGTAATTATTGTAAATTGCAGAAATTCAAGAGGCTTTGTGGTTTCACTTATTTAAATAATGCATATAAATTACACAAAGATCGGATGATAACTTTCGGCATTAGAGCATTCACATGGTTCAATCAAGTGAAGTGAGCCATAATTCTAGACTTAATGAACGGAAATTGTTGAAATTCAATAGGATTGTTCTTTTTACTAACTTAAATGGCACATACAAATTTCATACAGATCGGCAGATAATTTTAGAGGTAGAGCGTTCACAAAGTGCAACAAAATGAAACAGGGGCCATAACTCTGAAGTAATTGCACGAAGGAAATTGCTCAAATTCAATAGGATTCTTCTCTTGACTAATTTAAATGGCACATCGGATGATAACTATTGGCGTTAGAGCATTCACATGGTTCAATAAAGTGAAACAAGGGCCATAACTCTAGACATAATAAACGGAAATTGCTGAAATTCAATAGGCTTCTTCGTTTCACTAAATTAAATAATGCATATAATTTTCACAAAGATCAGATGATAACTTTTGGCATTAGAGCATTCACAAGGTTCAATAAAGTGAAACATGGGCCATAACTCTAGACGTAATAAACGGAAATTGCTGTTATTCAATAGGCTTCTTTGTTTCACTAATTTAAATAATGCATATAAATTTCACAAAGATCGAATGATAACTTTTGGCGTAATAGCGTTCACAAGGTTCAACAAGCCAACAGTGAGGCTGATGTCCCCCGCCGAAATCCCCAAATAAATAGATGACACATATTAATTAATCGCACATCTATTTTTTTCCAAAGTATCAAGCAATCAAACTGATTATGAACTATACACTAAGTTTCATCACTCTCTATTAGATAGAATCAAAGTTATCTTGTCCCAAAGCAGGAAATTGCTTATCTCTGCTTAGCTTTAGCTCGATATGTTAATCATTGAACTCAGTCAAGACGAACATCTACATCAAGTTTAAACATCCTACCTCAATTAGAAGAAGAGTTGTTGAACTCAGTCAAGACGAACATCTACATCAAGTTTAAACATTCTACCTCAATTAGAAGAAGAGTTTGACCAATCAAAATGCTTATTGCTCGTTAGCCTAAGCAGAAAATTCTCATCATCGAACTTAGTCAAGGTATTGATGTAATGAAACTATACACCAAGTTTCATCACTCTCACTTAATTAGAACTAAAGTTATCGTGTTCCAAAGCATCAACAAATCAAATTGCTTATCTCTGCTTACCCTAAGCAGAAAATGCTGATCTTCGCACTCCATCAAGGCATTGACCTCATAAACCCCTACACCAAGTTTGAACATTCTAGCTCAATTAGAAGGAGGGTTATTGTGTTCCAAAGTCTCGGCCAATCAAATTGCTTATCGCTCTGCTTACCCTGAGCAGAAAATGCTCATCATCGAACTTAGTCAAGGTATTGATGTAATGAAACTATACACCAAGTTTCATCACTCTCACTTAATTGGAACTAAAGTTATCGTGTCCCAAAGCATCAACCAATCAAATTGTTTATCTTTGCTTACCCTAAGCAGAAAATGCTTATCTTCACACTCCATCAAGGCATTGACCTAATAAACACCTACACCAAGTTTGAACATTCTAGCTCAATTAGAAGGAGGGTTATTGTGTTCCAAAGTCTCAGCCAATCAAATTGCTTATCGCTCTGCTTACCCTGAGCAGAAAATGCTCATTATCGAACTTAGTCAAGGTATTGATGTAATGAAACTATACACCAAGTTTCATCTCTCTCACTTAATTAGAACTAAAGTTATCGTGTCCTAAAGCATCAACCAATCAAATTGCTTATCTCTGCTTACCCTAAGCTGAAAATGCTCATCTTCGAACTCCATCAAGGCATTGACCTAATAAACACCTACACCAAGTTTGAACATTCTAGGTCAATTAGAAGGAGAGTTATTGTGTCCCAAAAAGTGTGACGGACAGACAGACGGGCGGACGGACAGACAGATGGACGAACCCATTTTAATAGTCCCCTGCTTTCTTCGAAAGGCGGGGGACAACAAAGGGAAACAAGGGCCATAACTCTAGCCCTAATGAACAGAAATTATTAAATTAAATAGGCTTCTTCATCTCACTAATGTAAACCACTTTCCAGGAAACGTACAAACCCTCAGTATTGATGTATGATTTGTATGATTATCTTACATTTAATTCAGAAAACAAAATTAAAATACCAACATTAGATATCTCCCGTATTGGGATCAATCGGATTAAAACAGGCCCAAAATTTGGTTCACGGCAAATAAAGATGGACGTCATCATGTTACATAGGGAGCAGCAAAGATCGATGGAATTTTCAAAATCGTCATATCTTTGTAAATACTAAACATTACTGAACCATTTTTGGACAGATATTCCTATTAGTAATTCAACTTTCGCACTAAAATCACGTACATAATCTTTTCTTTTACAAGTATATCACAAATTACCTATCATTTGTAATTGCAACTGTTGCATACAAATAAGAAGTGAAGATAATATTCAATTCGTAATAATATAATGAAATTTAATATATACAATGCTAACGATAATTTTATCCAGACAAAGATTTAAATGAGTCAAACTGATTATCTATACTTAGTCTAAGCATAAATGTTTTGAAGTACCTGGTAGCGAAATTATACACTAAGATTCACCTCTCTCCATCAGCTAAAATAGTCATAGGCTTAGTCACCCAGAACCTATTAGTCTTCAACATACGGAGGGCCTGGGACCGAAAAATTCCATTGCCCTAAGTTTTTTTTTAGTTTTTTTTTATGTGGTTGATTTTCCAGTATCTTTGGCCAAGTCAAGTAAGAGTTGCACCCCTTCTCGCAATAAATCCCATAATTCTTGCATTAATATAAACAGACATGAATCTTGACGATGAATTGGGCTTACCAAGCCAACAGAGAGGTTGGTGTCCCCCGCCAAAATCCCAAAATAACACATATTCATTAATCGCACATTTATTTTTTCAAAAGTATCAAGCAATCAAACAGATTATCACCTATACACTATGTTACATCACTCTCTATCAGATAGAATCAAAGTTCTCCTGTCCCAAAGCATCAACCAATGAAATTGCTTAGCTCTGCTTAGCTTTATCTCAAAATGCTAATCCTTGAACTCAGTCAAGACATTCACCTAATGAACATCTACATCAAGTTTAAACATTCTACCTCAATAAAAATTGAAATTGCTTAGCTCTGCTTAGCTTTACCTCAAAATGCTAATCCTTGAACTCAGTCAAGACATTCACCTAAGAACATCTACATCAAGTTTAAACATTCTACCTCAATTAAAAGCAGAGTTGTTATGTTCCAAAGTCTTGACCAATCAAATTGCTTATCGATTCTTAGCCTAAGCAGAAACTTCTCATCATCAAACTTAGTCAAGGTAATGATATAATGAATCTATACTCAGAGTTTCATCACTCTAATTACTGATATAATGAATCTATACTTGGAGTTTCATCGCTCTCACCCAATAAGAATCAAAGTTATCACTATCACTTTAAAGGACAATATTGGTGTCAGCCATTATTACATGTGACAAAACTGGTATATAATTTTCACATAGAGATCATTGCTACAACAGATGTATAACAAGAAACGTGAAGTGACGACAAAAATGACAAACATGAGTTATCCTTCTATATAACTGACTGAAGTAATGATTTATAACGGACACATGATAAAATTTCATTTCACTGATAATTCCGTTGAAGATAATAAGTTATTATATGAGACAGTGAGAGGATATCTGACAATTCAAAAACAGAATTGGCTGTCAGTAGATAGAAGAAAACAAACAAACTAGAAAAAGTCTGTGCATTACCATGTTTTTATTAAGCACAGAATGAATAAAAAAACAGCGGTTGCCAGGAAAGATACACCCACATTTTGCAAGAGATGGATAAGAACAAGCTAAAAAAAAAAGAAACATAATTTTTCGTAAAATCAGAGGCCATAATCCAAGAAGTTATGGTCTGAAATGTGCGAACATTGAAAGGAACTGAGATCTTTGGGATAAAGATATATTTTAAGTTACATCAAAACCGGAAAAAAATTGTGTCTTTTTGAACAGATATCGGCTACACAAGTATCGGCAAAATGGATGTGTATCGGTCAATATCGATTTCTACCAATAGGTCACTTATCGATGGTGAAACTGATAATCGGACCATCACTATCAGAAGCTACTCTAGATAAAAACATTAAGACAAGCAAGATTAAAACAGTATTTACCATTACTATCAGCATCTTTAACAGTAACCCCATCTTTATTATCTACTTCCATTTTATTATCTGTAGCTGCATCAGCTTCATTAGTCTCTGATACCTAAAATACAAATACATTTTCTTAGTACATACTACATAAGGCAATTTACATGTATTATTCGATAAATAAAATATCTAAGTAAAAAAGACTTCTGCTTAATCTTCAAAAACAAACCTTTAATCATATAGAGCTTGCTCAGGGATGCTATTTCAAAATTTTGCTTGTCGCTGTCGGACATTTATATTTGGAGTTAATCGAGGCAAGAAATAGGTCATCAGAGGTCGTTTGTCACCAGCTTCAGGAAATAGGGTCAATAAGCTTCCAATCCCTATTACCTACAAATATCTTTATGTTATGTAGCATATTATGTTCTGAATACAACAAGCCAACAGTGAGGCTGATGCCCCCCACCGAAATCCCAAAATAAATAGATGACACATATTAAATAATTGCACATTTATTTTTTTCAAAAGTATCAAGGAATCAAACTTATTATCAACTATACACTAAGTTACATCACTCCCTATCAGATAGAATCAAAGTTATCTTGTCCCAAAGCATCGACCAATGAAATTGCTTAGCTGTTTAGATTTAGCTCGAAATGTTATTCATTGAACTCGATCAAGACATTCACCTAATGAAAATCAACATCAAGTTTAAACATTGCTTAGCTCTGCTTAGCTTTACCTCAAAATGCTAATCCTTGAACTCAGTCAAGACATTCACCTAAGAACATCTACATCAAGTTTAAACATTCTACCTCAATTAAAAGCAGAGTTGTTATGTTCCAAAGTCTTGACCAATCAAATTGCTTATCGATCCTTAGCCTAAGCAGAAAATTCTCATCATCAAACTTAGTCAAGGTAATGATATAATGAATCTATACTCGGAGTTTCATCACTCACTTAAAAACAAAGTTATTGGCCCTAAAGCATCAACCAATCAGATTGCTTATCCCTGCTTACCCTAAGCAGAAAATGCTCATCTTCGAACTCCATCAAGGCATTGACCTAATAAACACCTACACCAAGTTTGAACGGTCTAGCTCAATTAGAAGGAGAGTTATTATTGTGTTTCAAAGTCTCGGCCAATCAAATTGCTTATCGCTCTGCTTACCCTGTGCAGAAAATCCTCATTATCGAACTTAATCAAGGTATTGATGTAATGAAACTATACACCAAGTGTCCTCAACTCTCACTTAATTAGAACTAAAGTTATCGCGCCCCAAAGCATCAACCAATCAAATTTCTTATCTCTGCTTACCCTCAGCAGACAATTCTCATCTTCGAACTCCATCAAGGTATTCATTTAATAAACACCTACGCCAAGTGTGAACATTCTACCTCAATTAGAATGAGAGTTATTGTGTTCCAAAGTCTTGACCAATCAAATCACTCTCACTTAATTGGAACTGAAGTTATCGTGTCCCAAAGCATCAACCAATAGTGCTCCTACGGTTAGGACTTTTTGTTATTCGAATAGCCGTAGCTATTAACCGGTTAGTAACCGTTAACCGTATTGTATCAATTTTAAACATAAAACAGAGCTTGTCAGGAGCTACGAGTCATTACTCGTGCGCACGCTATACTCGCGTTATAAAAGGCATTACACGCGCAAAAAATTCAGGAATTTTTTCAGACATGTACAATTCTGTAATGAAAATTTAAACTATCTAAGGCCGTAGCCTGGTTAACTTGGTTCATTTGAAACATTTTTTTAATTCAATATAACGATAATATACAAAACAATACTCAATTTCCCTTCGTACGTGACAGACGGCGATAATATTACGATTACACAATGTTACTAAGAATAGAATAAAGTAAATTAGAAGGCGTCTATTGATTGGACAATAAAGAAATAATTCCTCGCTTGCAAGTAGAATTTTTATGATTGGTTAATTTAACTGAAAACCAAAGTAGAATTCATTCGAGAAATTACGAGATATGAAACGTGTTCAATGCCGTAACGAATCTAGTACAATGTCATTTTCTAGCCTTTATGATTATATTTTGAATGGTGGTTACGTTTTGAAGTAAATAATAAACAAGGTAGAATATAGTTAGAAATGCCGAGAAGTATTTAGATTGGATTAACAATAGCAAAAGTCGAACAAGGTCCGTTGACTTTGCCGTATGACTACGACGAGTGCTATTAATAGTATCATTGTTTAGCAGTCGACATCGTTGGACGACTGTTACATTCTAAAATTTTCAAACATCAAATACAAAATTACAACGGGCAAGTTTTGTTATAAAGAGGAATATAATCAGACACAACTCTATGTAATGGGGGACATCTCCGAATAACCGTACCGTTGAATTCAAACCGTTTAACCGTCCAGTTCCAACCGTTTACGGCTATCCGACTAGTCGTAGGAGCACTATCAACCAATCAAATTGCTTATCTCTGCTTACCCTAAGCAGAAAATGCTCATCTTTTAACTCCATCAAGGCATTGCCCCAATAATAAACACCTACACCAAGTTTGAACATTCTAGCTTAATTAGAAGGAGAGTTATGGTATCCCAAAAAGTGTGACAGACGGACGGACAGACAGACGAACCCATTTTAATAGTCCCCTGCTTTCTTCGAAAGGCAGGGGACAAAAAATTGTCTGGTTTTAGTGTTATCATTAAAGAATAAGCAGCCCAAAAATGAGACAATTATCTTTATTAGTGCCAGAGATAGGGTGTACCTATGTTTTTCATACTTTTTCCCAAAAAATGTGTTACCCTGGCAACAACTTTTTAAAAAAAAAAAAATGTTAGTTTTCCCTTACTTATTACCTTTGCTAACTACTTGTACCATTTCTTATGTTATCTATGTACGTCTCAAGGTGGTAGTTTTGTTCAGGTGTAGCTCAAGGTGGTAGTGTTGTTTATGTATAACTCAAGGTGGTAAAGTTGTTTATGTATAACTCAGGGTGGTAATGTTATCTATGTATACCTCAAGCTGGTAATGTTATTTGTAACTCGAAACGGTAGTGTTGTCTGTGTAGTGTTGTTCATGTATTACTGAAAGGGGTAGTGTTGGTTATGTATAACTCAAGGTGGTAGTATTGTTTACATATAACTCAATAATGTAGTGTCATTGTTTATAATCAAGGATGCAGTGTTTTTCAAAAGACACTAACCACCTGTTCTTTATTATCTGTTAAATCAGAGTCACTATCAACTGAACTGATTTTAACTTTTTTCACTGGAACTTCTTCTTCTGCATCTTGTGACCTTTTGCTTCTCTTTAATGGTGTGTCTGCTTCTGAATCACTGGTTGCAGATGACACCGACGATGTTTTACTTCTAGATTCTAAGTATGTTGGTTTTCTGATTTCGGGTTTCTGAAGTCGAAAATAACCTATTATGGCCATGTAAAATTGATACATATACAGGTCACAATTCTATGGAATACAATTACAGCTTATTACTAGGTGTCACATTGCTCGCGTTAGAAGGAAGTCTTTTTTTTTCCCCCAATTTTTAACCCTTTTCAACTTAATGTCACATCCATAACGAGCGAGTGACACCAACTGCTAAATAATCACATTCGACTCTAGCATGCACTATCGTCTAAAACAATTAACTACTTACATTATTTCGTCAACATTTCTTAGTGTGTTAATTTATTTATTTAAAACATAAAACCCATTCAAAATATGACACAGGTGGAGAAATCAGAGGTTAATCACGTAGATTAAGTTTATAATCACTCTTATCGAATTGATATATAGTCTGACAAAGGAGAAGCAATGACTTCTGTTCACGATTGGATTGATGAAATGTCCGACAAAGGATTAAGTCCGCCAATCAAGACAGATTAAGTAGTTAACCCAGGTAGGTGTATAGACGGTATACACTTTATTACCTAATCAATCCAGTATATTTATCAACAATAAACGGGTTGAGTGGTAGTTATACACTTAGTACACTATATTAATTTTGGAATTTTAAATATTATTCACCATGTTTTGATGTCCGATTGGGCATATTCCTGGTCAGACATTTTAGGACGTTTGGAAAATAGCATCGGACATGTCCGGAATATACAGGCGAAATCCCATCACTGGTTGTAAATATGTGCTAAAATCCTTACCGGTACTGTACTTAAAATGTGGTGATCATTTGGTTCGTTATGGTAAACACCATTGAAAATGGTATTACATTGCATTTTTGGGGGGTTTGTTTTTCGTTTTGGTTGCTATAACAACCAAATATTAAGTAATATACAAGAGTAAAGTTATGTAATTTTAAAAATTCACAAACAAAATTTCATTTCAAGGTCTCAATTCCTTCATATTTTAATATTTTATTTATATCTTAATAATGGCCAAAATGGGCAATTTAGGCTACTGCTGTTCAAAATGTTTTTCAAAAGTGAACCTCATTCCAGTTGAGAGAAGACATAAAAATATTTTGATTTTATTTTTTTAAATCTTGCCCAATAGCTTCTGATTTTAAAATAATACAATAATCAATATTGATGTCATAATTATTGGAAAAAAATGCTTTTTTGGCAAAAAATAACTATGGTAACAACCCAAACTCCTTCATATTTTTCCCAAACTTACATGGGTTTCAAATATTTTAAACTGCTTACTTTAAAATGTGGTGATCACTTTTTGGGTTATAGGAAATAGTGTTGAAAATTGCATTTTGTTCCATTTTGGTTGATAATATATGGCAGATTAGAAATATGCAATTTTAAGAATTCACAAACTTTTTAACATGTTAACATAATTTCACTTGTGTAGCTCCATTCCTTCTTACATTATTAATGTCTAAAAAAACGCCCCAAAAATAGGCAATTTGCTCCTGCCGAAAATTATTCAAAAATGAACATATATCCAGCTCTTGAGAGAAGGCATAAATATATTATTTTTTTGGGGTTAATCTTACTTGATGGTTACTGATTTTAAAATGCATAGCAGAACCAGGTTCAATATTTCAGACATAAAATGTTCCAGACCATTTTTGATGAAAAAATTGACCAAAATCACTGATAAAATAGAATTTTTGAGAAAACCTATGTATTTTGGAGTAGCTAGGGAAATTGGAGTAATTGTTACAAAATTTGAAAACAGAAACATAATTAGCCTTAAAGATGTATTACATGAATTTACATCCACATGTTTGATAGTTTTACTATGAAATGAAATATGGCACCACAAAAAACACCAAAAATGATCTTTTGAAAGCTTTGAAAAAACCTTTCTTCAGCGAAAAATAAAAAATCGCAATTTCGAGCCTCCATATAAAAAGATAGGTTGCCAGGCAACTAAACATACGCCCACAGCAGCTAAATCGTCCGAGCGGTCGACAAGAGTTGTCGTATATTTGTTCTTTAGTAGGTAATTAGGGGGCATTTAATAGACAATTTCATACAGATGACATTATAATTTTCGTCGTTTGAGGGTTCACAAGGTTCTAAAAACTAAAACAAGGGCTGTAACTCTGGAAGTAATCTACAGATTGTTGAAATTCGACAGACTTTTTTGTTTTACTAATTCAAATAATACATATCAATTTCATACAGATCGGATAATAACTTTTATCGTTAAAGCATTCACAAGGTACAACAAAGTGAAAAAAGGGCCATTACTCATGGTGTAATTAACGGAAATTGTTGAAATTCAATAGGAATTTTCGTTGCACTAATTTAAATGATGCATATCAATTGCAAACAGATCGGTTGATAACTGTTGTCATTAGAGCGGTCAAAAGATTCAACAAAGTGAAACAAGGGCCATAACTCTAGATGTAATTAACGGAAATTGCTGAAATTCAATAAGCTTCTTTGTTTTACTAATTTAAATGATGCATATAAATTTCATACAGATCGGATAATAACTTTTGTCGTTTGAGCATTCACAAGGTACAACAAAGTGAAACAAGGGCCATAACTCATGGCATAATTAATGGAAATTGCTCAAATTCAATAGGCTTCTTCGTTTCACTAATTTAAATGATGCATATCAATTTCAAAACAATCAGATGATAAATGTAGTCTGTAGAGTGTTCACAAGAAATTGTGGACGACGGACGGACCGACCAACAGACGGACGGGGGCGACGGCAATATACGACCACATTTCCATGTGGGCGTATAAAAACCTTTTCATCCGACTTTGAATGTAAAAGGTTTTGTAAGAAGAATGATGAGATCTACATGAAAAGCCATTAAATCAAATGTATAATCATAATCACAAAATAACCTTTTCCACCTATTATTACTGAGCGATGTTTCGACAGATTATTAATGTAAGACATATTACAATAAAACCATAACAGAATAAACACATCACTTATCAAAATAGTTTGGTAGGCAACAAAACATACGCCAACAGCAGCTAAAATGAGTTTCTATGTGACCATATAAAATGATTTGGTGAGGTAGAAAAATTGGGATTTTATTGGTGGAGGGGTCTTGTATGTTTTGTATGCTAATTACTATTTTTTGAAGAAGCATTCTATTCTAGAGGTTAACATATGACTTTTGTTTACGGTCTGTAAAAAGTGACCCCCTAGGTAATTATAAATTGTACAGCCTTCATTTAAAACAAATCAACTTTTACCTTTGTAGGAGGTGTATTTTTCATAGCACTAAGTTTAGCACTAGAGATGACTTTAACACCTTGTGCTTGTGCTGATCGTGTAGGTTTTGGTGGGGGAGCTTTGACTATTGGTTTAGGAGCCGGTTTACTTTTAGCACTAGTTTTAGCTTTAGTCTGAAATTAAATAGGATAAACTTCAATACATGCACATGTTCTGTTTAATAAGAATCAAGTCTTTTTTTCATCAAAAGCAAGATAAATCTACACAATATAATACTATCCTACTATATGCCACTCAATCTGATAAAGAGATATGATCATTTTTGGGTCACCTAAATATTTAGCTGAAGTTTTTGATGGCCTCCATTAAAGACTTTTATCCATGAAGGTTTGAGACTATACAACTAGTTTACTTCTATGTAGCTTGAATATAACAGCACATTATACCTAGCATGAATATAACAGCACATTATACCAACAGCAAGAAATTGCAAAACAGATAGCTACAAATCATATGCCAGTTTTGATATGCACAATACAATTTATTAAAATTTTGGCGTCAAAATCAATGAATTAGTCTGGAGATTCAGTGTTGCAGGGTGTCCATCAAATGGGCACAAAATCAGACCCAACCTTTCTAGAGTAAGCCCGCTGTTGGGGCGTTTTCAAGATATTCGGGTTCAAAGGTCAATGAGGTCATTTGAACTGAAAGTGAATGCGCAGCCATTCTTGTATCATGAAAACATGCTGAAAATGATTGAAAGTAATCACTCTTTGAATAAAAATGTTTACGTGCTACCCCAGATGCGAAAAGGTCAAATTTTCCATTTTTGCACTGGGAAGATTTAAAGCAATAAAATGTTGTCGTAAAATATAAAAACTAAAGCCAAACCTGTTCTAAATAAAAGGAACATTTAAAACTCATCTTTAGGTGGTCTTAGCACCGTACATTTACTTTGTAACGTCGAAAAAGATCTTGTATAACAGAAACAAAACACTTTGAAACTTGTTTCAAAAATACGTAAAAACCGTCAAATCAAAATCTGTTCAATTGTTTTTCGGACAACTAGTTTCATTATGTATAACAATCGTTGCTAAACTATATCGGGGAGATCTTGATTTGACAGTTTTTATGTATTTTTGAAACAGGTTTCGAAGTGGTTTGTTTCTGTTATGCAAGATCTTTTTCGACGTTACAAAGTAATGAACGGTGCTAAGACCACCTAAAGATAAGTTTTAAATGTTCCTTTTTTATTAATTAGAACAGGTTTCGCTTTAGTTTTTATATTTTACGCTGACATTTTAGCGCTTTAAATCTTGCCTAGTGCAAAAAAACGAAAATTTGACCTTTTTGCCTCCGAGGTCACAAAGAACAAAGGTGAATTTAGCAAGTTAACATTTTTATTGAAAGGTTGATTACTTTCGATCATTTTCAGCATGTTTTCATGATACAAGAATGACTGCACATTCTGGTTTTGTGCCCATTTGATGGATACCCCCCACACTGAGCCTCCGTATGATGCAGTAGAAAATTCATGGGGCCTGTCTATTAAATAAAATCATAATACATTTCTTATTCTTTCTCTTTCTTTTTCAGCTCGTTCTTTCTCTCTTTCTGCTCGCTGTCTCTCTCTTTCTTTTTTTTTCTCTTCCTCTAATTTTTGTTTTTCTCTATCTGCTTTTAAACGCTCTCTTTCTTTTTGTTCCCTAGCTAATGTTTTTTCTCTTTCAATACGTTTTCTTTCTATTTCTAAATCACGTTCTCTTTCAATGTCTTTTTCTAAATGCTTTAGTTCACGAGAAGAATTGATCACTTTCTGTTTCTGAAGTACAATCAATACATGTTATTTTCAACGAGACAGTGTTATATATTTTTGGACATTATAATACTAATTTTGTGTGTGTGTGTGTGTGAGGAGCTTGAGGGGGAGGGGTATCATAGTCAAACAGACTTTCCATGTTAACTTTGAGGCACATACAACAAATTGGAACAAGGCTTGAAAGATTACAAAGGTTTTTCTAGGGATATATATTGTAGAGTATATATATTTAGATAACATGCTAATTTCATGAAACAATACATTGTAGCCAGTACCAAGACTATACATTAATATGTGTTTAATTTTCTATATAGTGAGTAACAGTGAGTTTAATAGTTCACATTTGTTTACTGAAGTGATCAATTTCATTATACAAGATAACTTAACATCTTCTTACCTGTAGTTTGTCAAGTTTTTCAGACTTTCTCCGAATTTCCTGAAAACAAAATTGAAGCAATAATGTCAATATCAGTGACAGATTGTTTTATGTGTAGGTTGGCATTGCAAAACTAGAAGTTTTTTTTTTTCAATGATTAACATTACATTTCCTTTCACTTGCTTTATAAAGTTGACACTAAAACCTGACTTTGAATCTTTCATCAAAAAGTGTGAGGTGTAATACACCAGACCTTTATTTAAAACATCATTTTTATAACACAAGAATACTTTTAAAAGACATATATAAATTAAATTACATCTTCTAATTCTTTCTTCTTTTGTTCTTGTGTTTTCTGTTCTTTTTTAATAACTCCTTCTGGTATATTCTGCCTGGCTTCTAACGTTGTACATCTAACAGAAAACATGTTAAATCTAATGATTAAAGTATGATTGGTTGAACTCCAGTTCAGTCTATCTATAAGTATATATAGTTCCCAAAATATACAGATGAAAGTCACCAATTACGTGCACATTATCTTTTTATAAAGCACAGGGCAAACACAGTTTGAACTGCTTATTTAATTCTGCTCAAAATTGGGCAGAAAATGCTCAGTATTGACCTAATGAATTTGAATTTTAATACCAAGTTTGAACATTCCACCTCAATTATAAGCAGAGTTATTGTGTAACAAAATCTCAAAAAATCAAACTGCTTAATCTATGCTTAGCCTAAGCAGAAATGCATATCATCAAATTTATAAACAGAATTAGGTGTCACGAAGGACAGAGACTGGCCCACTTATTTAGTTAGTTCCCTTGCTTTCTCTGAAAGTTGGAGGAAGGGGGGTGGGGGGACAATAAATATATCAATAACTACAGTCACACGATAGAACATTTTACACATATGCGAGCCAAAATTTCATGTCTTTATATAAACCTGGTCTTATTACACAAACCCACATCACCCAGGATCAAAATAAATCTAATACACTGAACCTACCAACACTTATAACTTACTTATTATGCTGCTGATCAGGATTCATAGAACAAACCCAATTTTCTACAAATTCTTTTCCTATATCCGCTGAGGAAAATGGTAAAATACGCCATTTTAAACACATATCTGTAACGAAAGACAACATTGAAATTTTATTTTAATGGTAATTTTTCCTTTGTACATGTAGACTTAACTCATTTAGTCATTATCTCATATCTTTTCAATATTACATCAGTGTCCTAAATATTAAAGTTAAAGGATATCAATAACTTACCACATTGCAGTGTTTTGTTTATCTGCATTGCACGTTTCCGTAGAAATTTGCCTTCATTTGACGGTGGATCTTTCCAGTTACTACTGATATAACCGAAATTCTCCCTGAAATATGCATGTTAATCCATTAATGTGAAATATATTGGGTGTCCATTCCTTAATTTTGCAGGCTTATGCCTCTAATAATCCGGGTGAATACAGTATTTAAGATCTGATTGGTTTTGAATATTCATCCATTATCAAAATAATATCAGTAACTTTAATCAAAAAAGCTTAGAGAAAGTACAACTCACCAAAATTTGGTAACTCCTTGTTGAACTGTTAAATGCAGAGAGAAATAAAATAAAATAGCATTAATAACATGAGTATTTATAATAATCTAAGCTTAAAAATTACTGTAATATAAGAGATAAGGTGGCTATGAAGACCTGGTTATCCCGAATGTCAGTGACTAGTTTCGTTCGTATTGAACTCTTCAGACTGATTGGACTCACGTGGCGGGCGTTTATATTTATACTATTCCAAAACCCTGGTGGGGTTTCCATGGTTACTAATTGGCGGGGTTACCGGGGTTGGCCCCTTGGCGGGGTTTGCGAATTAGTTACCGGGGTCGGTAGCTCGCTGACCGGAGTTGTACAGAGGTTTGACAAATTTGCAGGGTTCCGAATTTGTTACCGGGGTTGTACTGATCGTTTAGATTGAAGTGCTAGTGTCTATAATGTTGCTAACTAGGATGCCTTTGGTTGGTTTGTAACATTATTACTTGTCATTAAAAATTACTGAGTAAGACACATTTAGGAGAAGAGTGCAACTTCTTTTTTTTATTTTACCTAATTGCTATCTAGAGGATGGTGCAATATAAAATTTGACTATTGCTGAATAATGTATGGGCATGAGGGAGGTCTTTTTTCATTTTTTTGAACGAAAATATTCCAGAAAGCGATCACTAGTCTACAGTTTTGCTTTCATTTATTGTACATACTTAGAACATAAACCCCCCAAATCAAGGTTTTAATAGGCAGCATTTCATATCGATATATTTTGCATATATATTTGAAATATTTTGTTGTCAGTGAATGGAAAATGGTTAAAATATTGTGTAATTACAAATGGTTACAGATAAAAATCATTGTGTGACGGCGAAGACTCAAGTAGAACCTGCTATCACAGGTTTGCCAACGCCGTCACGTTCACGCTTGGTAGAGGACTGGGCAGTAGATAAAGATCGAAACATTTTGCTGTCCATTGATTTGGGGTGTTATATACTATTAGGATATGACTAGTTTCTACATGCTGTTAACCGACTTCAATCAAGGAGATTAAAATGTCTGACAATGGAGAAACCATGAGGTAATCACGTAGATTAAGTAGGCACATGCAGCATATTTATTTTTATGACTTATGTGTCAAAAGGTTGGGCGGGTGTTGTATATATATTTTTTTTTCTCATCAAAACCAATAAAAAGACTGCACATGTAACCAATTTTGAGGGCGGGCGGTGCCTGAGAAACAACTCATTTATTTGTGTTGCCTTATGGAAGGAAGATCCCAAAGGAATTATTCAGAGAGTGATTTCAAACAATATATACTACTTTGGAAATCAAACTTACAACACTTGCTTTCCAGGGACACCCAAAAACCTGTTGGGATATATAAAAACAAGAAAATTTATACCTATGCCAACATCTTTCCAGTATTGTACCATATGTTCTCCCATAGCTCGTAGTAAGTAGCGATATTCCTTGGCATCAGCAAAATCTTGTTTATTATGTGTTGGTTCTAAGATTAAGTAAGGTATATCTACCACACCTGGAAATAATATAGTATTAAGATACATGTTATTTCACATCCATATTACATAGCAATATGTCTGTTCATATTCTATGCCATGAAAGTACCACAATATCCACAAGCACTTAAAAGGCGGGGTTAAAAACTGATTGTTCATCCATAGGTAAGTCAAAGCGGTGTATAAGATAAATGCTTTTCTACTGAATAGCAATCTTTTATTTAGTTATGGGAAGATTATTCTAGGCTAATACTGTGCTGATTTACGTCAAAAAATGGAGCATAACATTCATCGATATAAAGTAAGTAGTTGCTTAATGCAAGACTAACTGGAGTAAAATTAAAGATTTTGTTCTTGGTTTTGTGAGAAATAGCTTTATTTAACCACCGAAGTAATATCATCTGAACCATTTTTTATTTCAATATGTCTGATAATCACTTGATAACAATGTTACTAAAAATAAAATGTAATAGAATACAAGGCGCTATTGATTAGAAAATTAGGAAGAAAGTATGAAATCCAGGTTGTGATAGGTTAATTCTAACAATGTTTCTATTTTCATTCGGAAGAACTTCTAGCCGTTACGATTATATTTTGAATGGTGGTTATATTTATCAATGTTGGAATAGTAATTTAGATGACACAGGATGATCACAAAGTGCTTTGACTATGCCATGTGTATAGGCCTGACTTCGGTTGGATAAAATATTGAATTGCCCCCTGCATAATTCGGAAAATAAAAAGAAGGACTTACCCACAACACCGCTACAAAATCTGTAATATAATAAATAAAATACTAAATAGATCATTTAACTTTATCATTTTAAACCTAAAAGCACATTAAGGCCATATACAAAGAAAAATGCTGTTTCTCAGATAATCCTGCATCACATAAAAAGGGCGGCATGACCTGTTTTTTATTTTCCCAAAAAACTTGCTTTCCGAGAAAATTATGTGAATGTCTACTCATAATATGCACTAACCATATTCTAAGGGGTGCTGTCCCTAGCTACGAAGTTATTATGTCATTCGAACTAGTATTTCAATATTGGGATTTACATTACGATTCTGCATTCAGTAATGCTGCAAGAGAAGGTCTAAAACTGATAATGTAAGATATATGACATAGATAATTATATATTTTTCTCCATTTCAGAGTTATTGTAATACAACTCAAAAATATCAAGGTCAGTGTGTTTTCTATGTTAGAATATTTTTTAGATGGCCATATCAGCTCTTATTTGTCTTAACCACAGAAGAAAATTCGATAATAAAAGCTATTTGAATAGCCAAAAGGGAATATTTAATCAATAAATAATTGTTATAGGCCCTATAACTGTTTTTCTTAGTTCAACATATAAATTTTTTGTGCACACTATACTTGACAAAGTGGTTCATAACAAGCCAACAGTGAGGCTGATCATGTCCCCCGCCGAAATCACAAAATAAATACATGACACATATTAAAGATACATTATGGGAGATTTTAATAGAGAGTTGACCATTCTTGCTATAACAGTTCATAGATGATGAAAGAAGAATATATTGAAAATTTCAGTCAAATTACTTTATTCTGAAAAAAGTTATCACCATTTTAATTTTTGACTAGTAGTAGAAATAGGAGTCAACTCTCTCTTCACCGTCTCCGAGAATGGCCGATCGTTTGATTGACAGGCGTTAACTCCACCTACATAATCTTGATTATCAAGTAACGTTTTCTATGGCTGTGGTACCGTTAGCCTATTCGGTTTGAGACGGGGTTGCAATTCCATTCGTATCACATTTATTTTTACTACAAATTAAAAATAAGACTTTTAATATATAGATAAGAAACGAAAGTTTGAAAGGAATGGACCAAATCAATGAGGCATAATCATAGCCGACTTCTTGTTAGCCTGTGTGTACTCTTGTACTGTAACTGGTGTAGGCCTACGTAACTCCCGAAACAGACAAAATAAATAGGAAACAGTGATCCAATGCAGCTGCAATTCAACTGGGGTGATGTTAGCTGTGATGTTTATCAATTTCCGTAATTTTTCTGTAAACGCAAGTGACAAAAGAGCATATAATACCGACATCCAAACTTTCATTTTATCCACAACAAAACATAATATCAAGGCCGTATATATCGAACTTTCAATCAAACTGGCTGACATGCGACTTCGCACAACAGCGGCCTCGCTTTGTACACTCTATCATTTAGCCTCGATCTAAAATTTCTGAGAGTATGACGTCAACGTAACGGTTAATCTCCGCTTACAACGCCATTTAAAAATTTAATCAATCAATGAAATCCTGTTTAAATCCAAGCTGAACACAAGCCATCTGTGGGTCTACAGATTTGAATTTGTGCTTGCGGTGTTAAGATCTAATTTATAATTTCTAGGACATCTGAAGCCTAAATATAGAATTGCAAAAATCAGATTTAGCTCTTGCATAATGTATGTTTAATTAATAGTACATTTTTTTTTTTAAAAGTATCAAACTATTACCAACTATACACTAAGTTTCGTCAGTCTCTATCAGATAGAATCAAAGTTATCTTGTCCCAAAGCATAGACCAATGAAATTGCTTAGCTCTGCTTAGCTTTAGCTCAAAATGTTAATCATTGAACTCAGTCAAGACATTCACTTAATGAACATCAGGCCTCGAAATGTTTAAGAAAAGCTACCTGTCCATGCGCCTCGAAGATTCGTACAATTCTATCATCGGTATCCACGCGAATTCCGCCAAGTATCATGGTACCAAACATGTGTACTAAATTGAGGTGTAGAATTCAGATTTTAAAATATCCGTAATACATTGATTATCAAAACCAAATCACACCTGTGCATGGTACCATATTTACATGTACTGCGTGCAGAGGACAAGTAACGCCCCCTGGTATTTCTATCTCACATATCCTGTCTATATTTACGCTACAAATTATATTTATATATGAAATATTTTTCCGATCTAATTATTTGATTTTGTAAATTTTCTTATAAATTATTCATAGCCTTTATTTATGGAAATTGTTTTAAACTTTTTAAATGATTAAATACACCAGGCAACGAGCCGTGTGCATTTCAATTCCAGCTACCACTTTATTTACTGTGGTGTCGTTACGACCTGGGGGGGTGTTTTAATTAAAGCGACACATAGTTTTACTTGCTACCTGTCAGATGAAAAAATCGCCTGTCGGCGACAAGTGGACAGGTGAACAGTTCAAGTCATGATACATCAAGTTTAAACATTCTACCTCAATTAAAAGCAGGTTTGTTATGTTCCAAAGTCTTGACCAATCAAATTACTTATCACTCCTTAGCCTAAGCAGAAAATTCTCATCATCGAACTTATTCAAGGTAATGACATAATGAATCTATACTCAAGAGTTTCATCACTCTCACTTAATTAAAACTAAAGTTATTGTGCCCCAAAGCATCAACCAATCAGATTGCTTATCTCTGCTAACAGTAAGAAGATAATGTTTATCATCAAACTCCATCAAAGCATTCACCTAATGAACGCTTTCACCAAGTTGGAACATTTTACGTTAATTAGAAGGAGAGTTAATATGTTCCAATGTCTCGAAGAATCAAATTGCTCATCGCTCTGCTTACCCCGAGCATAAAAATGCTCATTATCGAACTTAGTCAAGGTATTGATGTGATAAAACTATACACCAAGTGTCCTCAACTCTCACTTAATTAGAACTAAAGTTATCGCGCCCCAAAGCATCAACCTACCAAATTGCTTATCTCTGCTTACCCTCAGCAGAAAATTCTTATCTTCGAACTCCTTCAAGGCATTCATCTAATAAACACCTACGCCAAGTGTGAACATTCTACCTCAATTAGAATTAGAGTTATTGTGTTCCAAAGTCTCGACCAATCAAATTGCTTATTGCTCTGCTTACCCTGAGCAGAAAATGCTCATAATCGAAATTAGTCAAGGTAGTGATGTAATAAAACTATAAACCAAATTTCATCACTCTCACTTTATTAGAACTAAAGTTATCGTGTCCCAAACCATCAACCAATCAAATTGCTTATCTCTGCTTGCCCTAAACAGAAAATACTCATCTTCTTACTCCAGCAAAGCATTGACCTAATAAACACCAACACCAAGTTTGAACATTCTAGCTCAATTAGAAGGAGAGTTACTTTGTCCCAAAAAGTGTGACAGACAGATTTTAATGGTGCCTTGCTTTCTTCAAAAGGCATGGGACAACAAAACAGAGGATGTTTCGGTAAAGTCTTCCTATTGAATAAATAAACAAGGAAAAATAATTTGAATCCAATTGGAACAGCATCTATATGGTGAATCATGCAATAAGAGGACAAACACTGTTAAGTATTAATTTTCAAATTTAAAAAGAAATACGTACACTCCTCCTTCCATTTGTGGTCCAACTTTTTCATACATTTTGATAAGACGACTACAATTATATACAAATACACCATCTTGATTCCGATTCTCTAAATGAACTCCAAATATTAAATTTAAAGATTTAGGATCCTTCAAAGCTCTAGAAAAAAAATACAAAAAAAACAACATTACATTAAAAACAAAGCTCTATGACAGAAATATTATGTCGGGACACTTGATACTAAAAGCATGGAACAATAAGTCAAGGATTCAATGGATAAGGCCACACAAATATAACGAATAGGTCTATCGTGCATCGACCTATCGTGAAAAATATAGTGCAAAGGGGTTTTATATTTCGATATTTAAAAAGATAGGTTGCCAGGCAACAAAACATACACCCACAGTAGCTAAATCGTCCGAGCAGTCGACAAGGGTTGTCACATATTTATTCTTTTGTAGGTAATTAGGGGAATTTAATAGACAATTTCATACAGATGACATTATAATTTTCGTTGTTTGAAGGGTCACAAGGTTCTAAAAACTAAAACAAGGGCCGTAACTCTGGAAGCAATCTACAGAAATTGTTCAAATTCGACAGGCTTTTTTCATTCTAATAATTCAAACAAGAGCATTGCTAACGCTGCAATATACGTCCACATTCCAGCTTTGATTGATATGGTACTTTTTAAAATGAAGAGAATGAAAATGAAATGGCTGTAATATGATCAGAGGCAAAGAAGGCTAGGCGTCGGGTTTGTTTTGCCAAATTTACAGACAAAATACTAACAATAAAGTGGGTGTGACACTGCCCCAAGAGGTCGGGGCAAGTATCAAAATAAATTGTTGCTGTCTTTATGGTATAAGGAATAAATATGCAAAGTTCCAAGATGATCCATTCAGAATTGCAGTCTGTAGACGATAAATACAAAAACTGGGCGTGGCTCTGCCCATGGGGGTTGGATATGGAAACAATATAAACAGGTACCATTCTGTTATTGAAATGGCAACATCAATAGTTGCCGTCCTTAGGGTATAAGGAATAAGTACACCAAGTTCCAAAATAATCCTTTCAGAATTGTGGCCTTTGGGCGTTAAAGGCAAAAATTGGGCGTTGCTCTGCCCCTGGACGTTGCTCTGCCCCTGGGCGTTGGGGCATTCACCAAAATCAATAGTTGATGCCCTTAGGCTATAAGGAATACATATGCCAAATACCAAGTTGATCCATCCAGAATTCGGGCCTGTAAACGATAAACATAAAAATTGGGCGTGACTCTGCCCCTGGGGGTGTGACATGCAGTTGTCGTCCTTAGGCTATAAGGAAAACATATCCCAAGTTCAAAGACAATCCATTAGGAATCGTGGCCTGTATGCAACTCACAGAGACACAAAGAAAAAAATGGGTGTGGCTCTGCCCCTGGGGGTTGGGCAATCACCAAAAAAATAGAGGTCAGCCTTGGGGTATAACGTATAAGTATAAAAAAGTTTTCAAGATGATCGATTAAGCATTGCAGGCTGTAAGTGACATACAGACACACAAAAAGAAAATGGGTGTGGCTCTGTCCCTGGGGGCTGGGCATTCACCACAAACAATAGGGATGTTCCTTAGGATAGAAGGAGTAAGCATGCAAAGTTTCAAGGTGATACGTTACGAAATGCGGTCTGTAGATAACAAACAATGAATACAAGAAATGGGCGTGGCTCTGCCACTGGGGGTCGGGCATGCACCAAGAACAATAGGGATCATCCTTAGGGTATAAGGAATTCATATGAAATTTTTTCAAGACGATCGATTAAGAATTGTGGCCTGTAGGCGACACACAGACACACAGAGAGAAAATGGGCGTGGCTCTGGCCCTGGGGGTTCGGCATGCGCCCCAAACGATAGGGGTGTTCCTTAGGGTATAAAGAAAAAGTATGCAAAGTTTCAATATGATGCGTTAAGAAATGCGGCCTGTAGACGACAAACAAACAAATACAAGAAATGGGCGTGGCTCTGCCCCTGGGGATCGGGAATGCACAAAAAACAATAGGGATCATCCTTAGGGTATAAGGAACAAGTATGTAAAGATTCAAGGTGATGACTTAAAAATTGTGGCCTGTAGGCGACACACAGCCACACAAAAAGAAAACGGGCGTGGCTCTGTCCCTGGGGGTTGGGCATGCACCCCAAACGATAGGGATGTTCCTTAGGGTACAAAGAATAAGTATGCAAAGTTTCAATATGATACGTTAAGAAATGGGGCCTGTAGATGACAAACAAAGAAATACAAAAAATGGGCGTGGCTCTGCCCCTGGGGGTCGGGCATGCACCAAAAACAATAGGGATCTTCCTTGGGGTATAAGGAATAAGTATACCAAGTTTGAAGAAAATCCAGTAAGAATTGCGCCCTGTAGGCGACACAAAGACACACGAAAAGAAAATGGGCGTGGCTCTGCCCCTGGGGGTTGGGCATGCACCCCAAACGATAGGGATGTTCCTTAGGGTACAAAGAATGTGTATGCAAAGTTTCAAGATTATTAGTTAAGAAATGTGGCCTGTAGACGACAAACAAACAAATACTAGAAATGGGCGTGGCTCTGCCCCGGGGGGTCGGGCATGCACCAAAAACAATAGGGATCTTTCTTGGGGTATAAGGAATAAGTATACCAAGTTTGAAGAAAATCCATGAAGAATTGCGCCCTGTAGGCGAACCACAGACACACACACACACACACACACACACACACACACACACATACATACATACACACACACACACACACAGACAGGGGCGACGGCATAATACGTTCACATTATGAATGTGGACGTATAAAAATGCATATAACTTTCATACAGATCGGATGATAACTTTTGTTGTTCGAAAGTTGACAAAGTAAATCAAGGGCCATAACTCTAGACGTAATTGACTGAAATTGCTGACATTCAATAGGCTTGTTCGTCTTCATTTCACTAATTTAGGTGATAACTGAAACTCAATAGGCTTGTTCATTTTACTAATTTAAATGATACATATCATACAGATCGGATAATAACTTTTGTCGTTAGAGCATTTACAAGGTACAACAAAGTGAAACAAGGGCCATAGCTCACGGCGTAATTAACGGAAATTGCTGAAATTCAATAGGCTTCTTCATTTCACTAATTTAAATGATGCATATTAATTTCAAACAGATCAGATGATAACTGTTGTCATGAGAGTGTTCAAAACATTCAACAAAGTAAAACAAGGGCCATAACTCTAGATGTAATTACCGCAAATTGCTGAAATTCAATAGGCTTCTTTGTTTCACTAATTTAAATGATGATATAAATTTCATACAGATCGGTTGATAACTTTTGTCGTTAGAGCGTTTCGCAAGGTGCAACACAGTGAAACAAGGGCCATAACTCCAGAAGAAATTAACGGAAATTCCTGAAATTCAATAGGCTTCTTCATTTCACTAATCTAAATGATGCATATCAATTTCAAACAGATCGGATGATAACTGTTGTCATTAGAGCATTCACAAGATTCAACAAAGTGAAACAAGGGCCATAACTCTAGATGTAATTAACGGAAATTGCTGAAATTCAATAGGCTTCTTTGTTTTACTAATTTAAATGATGCATATAAATTTCATACAGATCGGTTGATAACTTTTGTCGTTAGAGCTTTCATAAGGTGCAAAAAAGTGAAACAAGGGCCATAACTCCAGAAGAAATTAACGGAAATTGCTGAAATTCAATAGGCTTCTTCATTTCACTAATTTACATGATGCATATCAATTTCATACAGATCGGTTGATAACTTTTGTCATTAGAGCGTTCACAAGATTCAACAAAGTGAAACAAGGGCCATAACTCTAGATATAATTAACGGATATTGCTGAAATTCAATAGGCTTCTTTGTTTTACTAATTTAAATGATGCATATAAATTTCATACAGATCGGTTGACAACTTTTGTCGTTAGAGCGTTCACAAGGTGCAACAACGTGAAACAAGGGCCATAACTCCAGAAGAAATTAACGGAAGTTATTGAAATTAAATAAGCTTCTTCATCTCACTAATGCAAACAACATTTATCAATTTCAAAACAATCGGTTGATAAATGTAGTCTGTAGAGTGTTCACAAGAAATTGTGGACGATGGACGGACGGACGGGGGGCGACAGCAATATACGACCACAAATCATGTGACTAAAGAAAAATGCTGCTGCATGAAATTATCTAGGTAGAATATGCATTTGTGATTAAATAAAGTATTAACTATTATAAAGAACAGAACAAACTTTACATTTAATAAAATTTCTTGTTAAATTGGCAGTAAAATGATGCAGTTAATTTGTATGCATTCCTCGCTATTTACCACCGGCTTTGACTTGGTTATCCAGCTCAATTAAACAATGTAAATTTTGTCAGGAAGATTAAATTTCTGGAGGTCTGCAGGATTATTTACCCAATACTACCTCATTATTGTGAAGGAATTTTTCAATGGCAATTCTATATCTGATTATGATGCTTTTTAAAATACCATTATAATTATAACATTCGGCAACAAGTGCTACTAAATCTTTGCTTGATTCTCTGAATATGTTGTCCAAATTTTAGATTTAAATATGTCTGGGAATGGATACATTTTTACTGAAATTCTTACTTTAACAGTTTCAACACTATTACAGTAAATTTTATTCTTACCAGAAATTTCCCATAATTTCATTTTTTTAAAAAAAAGTGCCGCCCGCTTACTCCAATTTCTTAACATTAAATTTCCTGAGAACCTACTAATTTTGCTTGTGAGGCCTCAGGATAATACGAGAATGCCTATGTTTATGAAAACACTTGATTGTCAGGTTGCAGCATTCTGAAATGTTTTTTGCAATTGAGTAAAACAGAAGAGAGTCCTGCAACTACTGTAAACATATGTGGTGTAATGTAATCAAGTATTGTGATTGGTCAACCGAGTATTATGTTGCTCTTTCATTGAAAATTCTGATGTTGTCCTCTTATTTGACAAAATTCCATTCCTGATTAATGAATCAAGTACCCCCTGCCTATGTATATTGTCATATATCATATGAAGTTAAATGAGTACTCGAGATCAAATTACATACTTTGTTTTTCTATCAGCTAACTGTCTTCTTATTTGGGCTTCTCTACGAGATTCAGCAGCCAGATTTTGAGCTTTACGTAGTTCTGCCTGTATAAATAGAATAAAAATAGGTTGCCAGGCAACGAAACATATGTCCACAGCAGCTAAATCGTCCGGGCAGTCAACAAGAGTTGTCGCATACGACCACATTTAAATGTGGGCATATAAAAAGTATTTTTATTTCTAAAACTAATTCAATAAATGTACCAGTGGCTGCCAGGCAGGATACGCCCACATTTTGCAAGAGATGGATAGAGAACAAAAAAAAAAACCCAAGCTAAACAAAAAGCGATTTTTTGTACAAAAAGGGGCCATAATTCAGGAAGTTACAATCCGATATGCGCAAATATCGACAGGAACCAAGATCTTTGGGTTATAATCTTACATTTCAAGTTTCATCAAAATCAGAAGAAAATTGTCACCTACATGTACGCCAAGTGTGAACATTCTACCTCAATTAGAATGAGAGTTATTGTGTTCCAAAGTCTCGACCAATCAAATTGCTTATCGCTCTGCTTACCCTGAGCAAAAAATGATCATAATTGAACTTAGTCAAGGTATTGGTGTAATAAAACTATACACCAAATTTCATCACTCATACTTTATTAGAACTAAAGTTATCGTGTCCCAAATCATCAACCAATCAAATTGCTTATCTCTGCTTGCCCTTAACAGAAAATGCTCATCTTTGAACTCCATCAAGGTATTGGCCTAATAAACACCTACACGAAGTTTGAACGTTCTAGCTCAATTAGAAGGAGAATTATTGTGTCCCAAAAAGTGTGACAGCCCACAGCTAAATCGTCCGGAAAGTCAACAAGGGTTGTCGCATAATTTTTCTTTTGTCAGAAATAGAAACATTTACAACCCACTAAAATATGATTATGAGTAACAACCAATTTGGCTTCTAGTTCTGCCCTATTCCAAATATTAAATTTAAAGATTTAGGCTCTTTCAAAGCTATTTGAGTACGAGGGGCGGCCATTTTGTCTGTCAGTTTTGGTCCTATTTTTACAAAATTCGAACTCAACCATCCTTAGGGTGTAACGGTGACATATTCAAAGTTTTTTTTAAATCGGATAAAAATTATGACCTCTTTAGGGTCCACAAGCTAAAAACGCGATTTTTCGTACAATCAGGGGCCATAATTCAGGAAGTTACAGTCCGATATGTGCGAATATCGAAAGGAACAGAGATCTTTGTGTTAAAAACTTATATTTCAAGTTTCATCAAAATCAGAAGAAAATTGTGACCTCTAGAGAGTCCACAACCTTGATATATAATTTTTTTACGAATTTATGTACGAGGGGCGGCCATTTTGTCTGTCAGTTTTGGTCCGATTTTTACGAAATTCGAACTCAACCATCCTTAGGGCGTAACGGTGATAAATTCAAATGTTTTTTTAAATTGCATAAGGTATTGATTACTAAAACATATCACAAATACTTTATTTTATTTTCTAAAATTACTGGTGGGGCAAACAGGGGGCAGACCAGATTTATGAGGGGGGGGGGCAATTCGCAACCCCCCCCACACCCTTGGCGCTGCCACTGCCTGTGCTCTCTATTCCAAGTACTCCAACTTTCTAAGGGGGGTTGGATGGCCGTATGGTTAGCACGTGTGCGCTGTATCGACATAACATCTGTCATTGAGTCAACTGGCAAGGTTTCGATTCCCTGGTTGTACGTGACAAGGAGTAGGGTCGCCTGTCCAACCTTGTGGGTTTTCTCTGGGTTCTCCAGTTTCCTCCCACTGCTAAAGACCCCTACGCGCAAGCGAATTATTGAAATAAAATTGAACCATGTGTTAGTCACAAAATAACCTAGTTTGTGTTGAGTGGACCTTAAACTCCATTTCTCTGTATCTCTCCTACTTTCTAAACCATGTTCAATCAGTTAAACTATTAAGGTAAACTATATTACTTACTCTTTGATCTCTTGCTAATGATGAACCTAATCTATTCTCTAGATCCCTAAAATAAAAAGAAGTTATGAGACAGAGGAAAAAATAGGTTGCCAGGCAACTAACCACTCACACAGCTTAGTCATTTGCACCGGCCATAAAGGTTGTATTGTAAATCTTTATGAAAATAAAAGGCAAATTTGTTTATACTGTACAATATCTTTGCCACGTTTAAAAGATTATATGATATAATCATTTTCACTCATTTTATTATATTTATATAATATGTATGTGTTTGCCATTATAACTATGTATATACACCCATTTTGCATTAATAACATATATAATATATACATATCATTAAGGGAGAGGGGTTTTACATACATGTAGGCTAAGCCTGTTCCCCAATCCCATTCAGACAACCTGAATAAAAATATTGTTTAAAAAAACAAATACATGTAGTCATGTTTTGAATATCGGTTTCACCATCGGTAATCGGCCTATCGGTATCAGTTGACATTCTGCCATTTTGCTGATATTGGAGTCGACGGCCGGCCGGGTGCGATGGCAATATAAGACCACATTTCAATGTGAGCGTATAAAAACGGGAGAATGTAGCATGATTAGGCTACTATTGACAGGAAGCTATCACCACATGAACTTTTCAGACGTCTATAGGCTTATATCGTAATCAACATTTACTACCTCATAATCTCAACCATAGTTTAGTAGTTATTTATAAAACAAATCAAATTCAGTTCTCAATAGTTGGTATGTATATTTCACACACACTGTGTTTGTGTTTTGATTTCAATGTTTAAATATTACACAATTAACAATACTTTCATACTAACAATGACATGTATCTACATCAATTATCTGTAAGACTTTTGATAGAATTTTTCCTCTTATAATGTGCACTAAAATATGAGTGACAGATGGGTATATGATAAAGAGTTAGAGAACCAAAACATAACTGGTTCTATGTGTCAACAACATGTTACCAGATTATACGTGATTGGAAATTTACCTATTGCATCATTTGGTTTAAGGGACCAATCATATCAGTAATTGCACAGGTTCAGGGTCATGGATAGTGGAAAGATGTAGCAATTTCTATCAGCAGACTTGCCCCAGTGAGTCTGGCTGGCTAGTGTTTGAGAATGACTTTAGTACTGTAATCTATACTATGCTTGTATCCGGCTATGATATATAAAATGTAAAGATAGGTTGCCAGGCAACGAAACATACGCCCACAGCAGCTAAATCGTCCGGGCAGCCAACAAGTGTTGTCGCATATTTTTACTTTTTTTGGTAATGAAACATTTATAATACACTATAACTTTTTCAAAGTGATCAAGGGCCATAACTTTGGCAGTAATTAATCGGAAATCTTTGAAAATCAATAGGATTCTTCGTCTCATGACCTCAAACATTGTGTACAAATTTAAAGTCAATTAGATATCAACTTCAGCCTCTAGAGCATCCACAAGATTTTTTGAAGTGATCAAGGGCCATAACTCTGGCAGTAATTATCGAAAATCACTGAAAATGAATAGACTTCCCCGTCTCATGACCTTAAACACTGTGTATAAATTTAAAGTCAATCGGATATTAACTTTAGCCTCTAGAGCATCCACAAGATTCTTCAAAGTGATCAAGGGCCATAACTTTGGCAGTAATTAATCGGAAATCTTTGAAAATCAATAGGATTCTTCGTCTCATGACCTTAAGCACTGTGTATAAATTAAAAGTCAATCGGATATTCACTTTGGCCTCCAGAGCGTCCACAAGATTTTTTGAAGTGATCAAGGGCCATAACTCTGGCAGTAATTATCAAAAATTGCTGAAAATGAATAGACTTATTCGTCTCATGACCTTAAACACTGTGTATAAATTTAAAGTCAATCGGATATTAAGTTTAGCCTCTAGAGCGTTCACAAGATTTTTTGAAGTGATCAAGGGCCATAACTCTGGCAGTAATTATCAGAAATCGCTGAAAATCAATAGGCTTCTTCGCCTCATGACCTTACTTAAACACTGTGTATAAATTTAAAGTCAATCGGATATTAACTTTAGCCTCTAGAGCGTCCACAAGCAATTGTGGACGCCGGACGGGGGCGATGACAATATACGACCACATTTCAATGTGGGAGTATAAAAATGAACTGTTGCATTGTTATATCTACTGAGAAGACAAACGTCTTAAGAAAACAGTAAGAAGTAAATACACAAAGTGAAGGGGAAACAAAGACAACTAGAGACAAATTCTAGACGATCACAAGGCTACTAAAATATGTTGTCAGAAAAGATGCATGGATCATACGTAGGATGTGGCAACCAAATTTGACTGCCCGCTTTCCACGTCTGATAGAAAGGCCTATGGTACTACATATCTTGTAATTACTATTACAAGGCTCTACAATGCGACTGAAACACTCGCATTTGCGAGTGAATTTTGACAATGGCGACCAGATATTTATAAATGCTAGGTTTCTGGCGAGTGAACATATATCTTGAAGTCCCCAATTAACACTATAGCTATCTGAACTTTTTTCCGTAAAGATAACGTAATCGGCATTGATCCCAGTCAACTGTCACTCTTGTTTCTTTCCTGGTTTGAAATTGGGTGAATCTCATTGTCCTCTGCGAGGAAATTCGCATCTTTTATTATTTTATAGGACGACAAGTTGAAGAGTTATGTATGTTCACAATATAGTTTAGCTTTATCATACGACAAATTATTCTAATCTTCAGACTTGGCAACTGAAGATTTTGTTTGGCTAGTGGTTTTGAAAATATACTTCTGTTTGCACAAGTAAGTTCAAAATGCTGTGTAGAGTCTTGAATATACAAAGAAACAACATGACTTAGGGCCAGAAAACTTGCACATTTGTACAAATCAAAGTCAATTAAAGCATTAAAACTTGTCATTTGCAATTAATTGTGACAGGTTCCTTATATCCAGGCCTGTTTAAGACAATAGCTAAAATCTAACTTTTAGTAAATTTACTCACTTAGCTTTACTTTCTGCCTCTCTAGCTTTATTTTCAGCTGCTAAGGCATCATCTACAGCTTTCTTTGCCACATTTTCTGACCGGGTTTTAAAACGATTTGAAGAATATTTATATAGCTTTGGTTTATAAAGGCATGATGACAGTCTGTTTGTCCGCACTTTCTTGCCATTAATATAGATTCTCATTCTAGGCTCCATGTATAAAATAGCAGCATATTTACGGAAATATTTTCGTTCTGGCATCAACCTAGAAAGAAATGTTTAACAAATTATGAGGAAAATTCATCTAAAACTTCCAGTAAGACAAATACATTTTTGAAAAATGCATGTATGGCACTTTAATTCCTGCTATCAATGTTGTTCAAACAGAAAACCTCTTCGTACACGAGCCTCACTATCGCCTAGCATTTTCATCATGTTTCCAGGCCATATATTTTTCATCACAATTCATAAAATAACCTGCTGACAGTTTCCCCATATTCAACTACATGTACATTCTTCTTACATACATCATTATATAAAATTCCTGCAAATGTCACTGAACTGAATGTTAAAAGATAGGTTGCCAGGCAATGAAACATACACCCACAGCAGCTAAGTCGTCTGAGAAGTCAACCAGAGTTGTTGAATATCTTTTCTATTGTCAGTAATGAAACATTTATAATACACTAAAATCTGATTAAGAGTAACAACTCATTATAATACACTAAAATCTGATTAAGAGTAGCAACTCATTAAGTAATTATCAAAAAAATCATTAGAATTTGTTTGGCTTTTAGTTCTTCCCCTTGCTAACGTTTAGCATACGAAACATTATATCATGGATTTAGCTGTTCAAGTTATCAAAATTCATTGAAAATCAATCTACTTGTTTGTCTCAAGACCTTAAACTCTGTTTATCAATCGGATGATAACTTTGGTCTCTAGAGCATCCACAAGATTTTCCAAAGTGATCAAGGGCCATAACTCTGGTAGTAATTATCGGAAATCATTGGGCTTCTTCATATCACGACCTTAAACACTGTGTATAAATTTAAAGTCAATCGGATATTAACTTTAGCCTCTGGAGCGTCCACAAGATTTTTCAAAATGATCAAGGGCCATAACTCTGACAGTAATTATCGGAAATCGCTGAAAATCAATAGGATTCTTCGTCTCATGACCTTAAACACTGTGTATAAATTTAAAGTCAATCAGATATTATCTTTAGCCTCTAGAGCATCCACAAGCAATTGTGGACGACGGACGGACTGGGGCGACGACAATATACGACCACATTTCAATGTGAGCATATAAAAAGATCAGTAGTAGAATGACAGCAGCCGATTTTTCGAGATATATTTATATCTATGTACAAGGTGTCATACATTAATTCAAACTTTAATAGCAATCATCTATCTTCACTATTTCCAATAATATAACAAACTGTGTTCAAGCACAGTTGATTGAGTGCATTGTATAAAATTATAAATACAGTAACTATACTACACTTAGATATGCTGGATGAAGAGATTTCATAAGGCTAGATTATCAATGTTTAAATTAAAATAGAAAGTGTGAAGATGTTTAGTATTAAATGTGTGTACTTATAGCAAGGTGAAGAGAGATATCTACTATGTCAAATTTTTGTTTTTTTGCCATATATAAGACTCAATTTGCTTTAACTTTTACTGTAGGTATAGTGCATTTCAAAACCTTAAATCTGTAAGATAAATACTAAATATTTTTATATATATATATATACTGTATAAAACAAAGAACTAAATGAAACATAAAGTCTTTTTAGGTCTTCTAAACTTCTATTAATAAAAACATTACAAGAACTGTTATTTTTCATTAAAAACTTTTTTTCGTATTACAGATAAATAGTACGAGAGCATCACTAACACTGCAATATACGTCCACATTCATGCTTTGATTGATATGGTACTTTTTAAAATGAAGAGAATGAAATATGAAATGGCTGTTATATGACAAGAGGCAAAGAAGGCTAGGCGTTTGTTTTGCCAAATTTACAGACAAAATAGTCGTCAAACAGTCGGCCTGTAGGCGACACAGACACACAAATAGAAAATGGGTGTGGCTCTGCCCCTGTGGGTTGGGCATGCATCCCAAACAATAGGAATGTTCCTTAGGGTACCAAAAATAAGTATGCAAAGTTTCAATATGATACGTTAAGAAATGCGGCCTGTACACGACAAAGAACTACAAGAAATGGGCGTGGCTATGCCCCTGGGGGTCGGGCATGCACCAAAAACAATATGGATCATTCTTAGGGTATAAGGAATGAGTATGTAAAGTTTCAAAATGATCACTTAAGAATTGTTGCCTGTAGGCGACATACATACAGGGGCATTCAATGTGGACATATACAAATTCTGATTAATATTTATCCATCTCTGATCCTTTTGAATATTTCATAATCTTTTATAATGATCTAGTGTACTAAAACATGTCAGCCTACTAATCTAATTCAAAAGTAATATTGTTTTGTTTATGTAAAAGGCCACATAAGATGGACAAAATTTTTTTTCGGTACGTGTAGCCAATAGTTACTATATCCACTTTACGGCAAGCTCACACCAATCTGATTAAAATTAATTCGGCTGTTTACGTTTAAGTATCCGGCACGCCAAAACGCTTTTCAATTACAACCTTAATCCGGTTGATTGGCGGGTGACGTCACAGGCACTACATATCGTGTATACATTATCAATACACAATATATCGCTATCTGTAGAATATATCACTGTATATACACATCACGGTCCAATTAACATGTGACTGGCCTAATCATAATCACCGAATTATCGTCTTGCATTGTTAAAGATTAGACATTTTGTGATTGGAGTATTTTAGAGTGAATTTAAAATGCTTTATCATGCCGTAGATCCATTTAAGCGTCCTTTGTTTAAATAGGCTACGTGACAAATGAAGATGATCCAAGCAATTAGCGCATTTACCGGTAATATGGCTAATACTTGATTTCCCAAACTATTCTCTATAAGCACAGATATACAAATGGTGCCAGTCATTTGTCGATATATTCATTATTAGCTATATTAGTATATATAATTACAATAACCATTTCTATACACAAAGAACAACTTATATCATAACTCCATTTGAAATTCACAGCGAATATGTAATTTTCCAATGATATAGTAACCATTGGCTATACGTACACCAAAGTTAGGTTTCTCGTCTTATGTGCTCTTTAATAATTTCAGAAATTTAATTCTGATTTTGAGCCTTTTGTATTTGTTATCAATATGAAAGAACGTAATTTTTAGGTTCCCACAAACAATTCATCTTAAAAGTTTAATTTTTATCTTGAAGTAATGCCAGATTCATGTCCATTATTCTGATCAACATTCATACAGTCCAGGAAATATTTAAGTTTTGATTAAGCAGTCCAATACTGTTGGAAAGTTGGAAACTTGACAGACCAGGGACTGAAATCGTGATCAATTCATAAATAAACAAGCCAATAGTGAGGTTGATGTCCCCCGCCGAAATCCCAAAATAAATAGATGACACATATTAATTAATGGTACATTTATTTTTTTTAAAAGTATCAAGCAACCAAACTGATTATCAACTACACACTAAATGTCATCACTCTCTATCAGACAGAAACAAAATTATTTTGTCCCAAGGCATCGACCAATGAAACTGCTTAGCTATGCTTAGCTTTAATTCGAAATGTTAATCACTGAACTCAAGACATTCACCCAATGAACATCTACATCAAGTTTAAATATTCTTCTTCAATTAAAAGCAGAGTTGTTATGTTCCAAAGTCTTGACCAATCAAATTGCTTATCGCTCCTTAGCCTAAGCAGAAAGTTCTCATCATCGAACTTAGTTGTGGTAATGATATAATGAATCTATACTCAGAGTTCTATCACTATCACTTAATTATAACCAAAGTTATCGTGTCCCAAAGCATCAACCAATCAGACTGCTTATCTCTGCTTACTACACACAGTAAGCAGACAATGTTTATCATCGAACTCCATCAAGGCATTCACCTAATGAACGCCTACACCAAGTTTGAACATTCTACCTCAATTAGAATGAGAGTTATTGTGCTCCAAAGTCTCAACTAATCAAATTGCTTATCGCTCTGCTTACCCAGAGCAGAAAATGCTCATTATCAAACCTAGTCAAGGTATTGATGTGATAACACTATACACCAAGTGTCCTCACTCTCACTTAATTAGAACTAAAGTTATCCGTGTCCCAAAGCATCATCCAATCAAATTGCTTTTTTCTGCTTACCCTAAGCAGAAAATTCTCATCTTTGAACTCCATCAAGGCATTCACCTAATAAACACCTACGCCAAGTGCGAACATTCTACCTCAATTAGAATGAGAGTTATTGTGCTCCAAAGTCTCGACCAATCAAATTGCTTATCGCTCTGCTTACCCAGAGCAGAAAATGCTCATTATCAAACCTAGTCAAGGTATTGATGTGATAACACTATACACCAAGTGTCCTCACTCTCACTTAATTAGAACTAAAGTTATCCGTGTCCCAAAGCATCATCCAATCAAATTGCTTTTTTCTGCTTACCCTAAGCAGAAAATTCTCATCTTTGAACTCCATCAAGGCATTCAACTAATAAACACCTACGCCAAGTGCGAACCTTCTAGCTCAATTAGAATGAGAGTTATTGTGTTCCAAAGTCTCGGCCAATCAAATTGCTCATCGCTCTGCTTACCCTGAGCAGAAAATGTTCATTATCAAACTTAGTCAAGGTATTCATGTAATAAAACTATACACCAAATTTCATTACTCTCATTTATTTAGAACTAAAGTTATCATGTCCCAAGGCTTCAACCAATCAAATTGCTTATCAGTGTGCTTACTTTGTCAAGGTATTGATGTAATGAAACTATACACTACGTTTTATCACTCTCACTTAATTAGAACTAAAGTTATTGTGTCCCAGAGCATCAACCAATCAAATTGCTTATCTCTACTTACCCTAAGCAGAAAATGCTCACCTTCAAACTCCACCAAGGCATTGACCTAATAAACACCTAGTACACCAGGTTTTAACATTCTAGACAGACGGACGGATGAACCCATTTTAATAGTCCCCTGCTTTCTACAAAAGGCGGGGGACAATAACAATGCAGGTTGCCTAGTTTCAGATAACTTCCCAAAATAGATAGAGCTCTGTCAGGCTCCCTAATATGCCAACCAGCAGCAAAATCGTTTGTTCTAGCTCTAGAACGT